TGAATCGTAGTTGCCTGATCGGTTGGTTTCTGAATCGGCTAATGACCCTGACCTGGGAATCAACATCAATCAAGATCACGTGGTTGCCACTTGAAATGTCCAATCCTGCCAAGGGACATGAATCTCCTTGGCCAATTTCGTTGCTCGCCTGCCTTTGTCGTGGCCAAGGCCAGCGCCGGATGCGCAAATTCTCCTCGTAGCCTCCACACAAGCAACAGGCACCACCCTCTCGGCATGTGGCGAGTTCACAAAGGACTGTTTTCAGCGGGTGGGCACTCCAAACCCAAAATTCCAGACCAGAACAAGAGGACAAGCTGCCAAACTGATCCATCTCAGGGTGATAGGGGTGTGCTATGGTGTGCTAGATTTGTCCAGGAAAAATCTGGATGCAGAGTTAACATCGTTGTAGGCCCCATCTCTGCAAGTGGGTACAATATATGTCCAACTGTTTTGACCTTGGAGTGTCACCCCAAGCTCATGCATCAGCTGCATCATTGTTTTGCTAAGAGTTGTCGCAAATAAACAAATAAAAACACAAAGACAAACACACACACACAAACACACTTCATCATCCAAATTGCAGCAAGCCTGAAGTGTCTGCCTTGTACTACATACATCGCCTCCGACGCTTTGACACGCTTTGACAATCCAAAACCACCAGAACACCGAGAGCCGCTCAGTGGGTTTTGCAGTGGGTCGCCTCCGCCGCGCTCGCGGGGCTTCGTTGCACTCTGCAGTGCGTTGCCTCAGCTTTCGACAGGGAATCAAAGAGATTGATACAAAACAACGGTGAAGGTGGTGATGGCGGTGGTGGTGGTGGCGGTGGCGGTGGTGGTGGTGGTTTGATGTATCCAAAGGTTTGAGGCCTCTGGCCTGCGGCCTTGATTGCAACTTGCCTAAAGTGAAGGAGAACAAGGAGCGGAAAGAAAGAAAGAAAGATAGATAGAAAGAAAAGGAAAAGAAAAGAACCTTATATACATTATCGATCCATATATAAAAATAGACAGATCAACGAAAACGGATGCAGCGGCCGGTCTGCTCTCCTGGCAGCCCAGATTTGGCTGAGCGGCTGCTGTTGGCTCGGGCAAATCGAGGTGGACACCCTTCACCTCAATGCCACCGGAGCACGGCGAGCTGCCAATAGTTCCGTGAGCAGACGTCACCCAGCAGTTTCTGAGGAAGTCATTGGACAAAATAAGAGAATGATATTTCATTGCGACCTTGACCCCCCAAAAGGAACGGAGAGTGAATCCCCTGTTGAACATCTTTGCACACCGTTTCTATGTGTCTATCTATCTAGTTGGGGACCACTATACATGCACTTGCAGCTGCTTCCCAACTGATGACTTCAGCCATGACAACCGCAGCAAATCCTGGCTTCACATGTCAGCACATCAGCCACATATGAGTCGATGGAACGATGTATGCGTTCCCGGGGGGGTTTCCTTGGCTTGAAGAAAAGCATCCTCTGCCATCTCCAACACTAGATCGCGTGGACCAGCAAGTTCAGACGAAAAACACCAAATCTCCCTATGTGTGAACTCTATTTATTCCCGGAATTCTGAATGGTATATAACTTACAGTATATAGCTTATATCCAACTGCTGTCTGACCAAGAACATAGGCAGTTCTCAACCTGCAAGTCCGTACGTCCGAAAATATTCCCACCACTCTCTTAGCCCAACTAAGCACCCACCACCCACCAAGAGGTTCCTTGCACGAACCACCAAGACTGTCTCCCATAACATCTACTGTACATGCTTCTACATGGCTGTTAGGCTCTAAATCCATGGGCCAACATCAAACATACACTCAAATCTGTCCTTGGGCTGTAGCTTTGCAGCCACATCTTCCTTTTCCAGTCTGCATCCAAAGTGCTGGTCTGACGGCCAAAGCCTCCGCGGTTCAGAGTGCTGTTCCAGGAAGAGAAGGTGGCAATGGTGCCGGACCTGAACAGTGCTGTAGACGAGGTGCACACATGAATTCGAAGATGAGGTCCACAAGCTAGGCAGATCTGAGCATTCTCGAGTTGTTGATGTCCTCACTTGTTGTTTTATGATCTGTTGTTTTGTTGCTTCAGTAATTTGTTGTTCTCATTTACTTTTGTGGCCTTTGTCTAGTAAGCTTGGTTCTAAGCAAAACTGTTCCAAGATGTTCCAAGTATATGGAACGTGGATGAATGTGGCACAGATTCTACTCATGTTGCTCCGAGTCCGTCGCGGACGGAGAAGACCATGACCATACCTTTGGGTATGACATGGTATGACCTTTGTTTACCTCGCTTTTCCCTGACCTCTGAAGGGGATGGCCATCCAAACATCTCCCAACCAAATCACAATGGCCACACGATGCTACAAGTTCCGTCGGTTTTGATCACGAGCCATTCCGTCGGAGTTTGAGCCACACTCGTGGTTTTGATAGACGGAATTCGATGCTGCACATCACTGCCATGACTAACAAATCATTACCTGCACAGAACAGAACACCACTGACCTGAAATAGACATAGACGTAGAATGGCGTAGACGTAGAAAAAAATAGTCATATAGAGTGATGCTCAAACAGATTCAAAAGCTGTCCACACATTCTTGTTTGGGATCCAAGAATGCACAAGAAGAAATCCTGGTAAAAGAGCATGTTGCACTGACTGTTGTATGATGATCTTGGATGTACTTGGGTCCCATACCTAACGCAAAAAAAAATCAACTGCTTCTCGTGTTAGTTGAAGAGATTTCCGAGCAAGACGTGAAATGAAATACAATCATTCTTCCTCCTTCTGACCTCTAAATCCCTGTTGCTTGTCTCCAGGCGTGCCTCTCCCGCGCGAAGATGTCCGGCTGCTGGTTTCCATGGGCCTAATCAGGGTCAAACCAGACACCCACCAGTGGAGTTGTGAGGCGACAAGTTCACTTTGGTGAGGCGACATGTTCGGTGCAGTACTGCGCCATCACCGCCAAGAAAAACACGCAGCGGGCTTCAGCTGGCTTCGGTTGATCCTTCCACATTCTTCGGTTCAAAATTGTGGCGAAGCGTCGAAACGTCTTTGGTGTCCTTCTCTCGAAAAACTGTCCTGCAGGTCGCCACTTGCATTACCCAAAACCCTTTTCTGAGCTATCCTTGGAACGATTAGAGCAGCAAAACCTTCTGCCAATCTGGACAACATGGAGAAGTCTTGAACTTGACCCAATTCTATCCTACCACATAAAACTTACACACTACATGTCCACACAAATAGGCTACAGGTTTCAACCATTCGTAGCTCAAACCCAAATTGGCCGAAATAGTCGACGAAAACCATGTTCACATGAAAATAGGGATTTCGGGATTCTCAAAGATGGGCAGGCAATCACACGGGCGACTCCCGAATGCTCCAAGTACTGAGCCACGTGACCTGCAAGACTTTGATTACATATTTTTTGTGGTCTATAAATCATACAGGCAACCCACATCGAAGTGGGAAGACATCGTTCAAGAGGAGCTCACTGTCTTCCAACAGGCCATTTACATCTTTGCCTTTGAGAGACAAAAACGCCTTGAATTCACTTGGCACTGGCACCTCCTTGCCCTTTAGACCTCTTATGACCTACCCTCACCGCCCGCCCGGTGCCGCTGTGCCTTGGCCAGCGCCGACTCCACGTGCGGCAGCGGCTCGTCGCCCATGGGCGAGGGCGGCGCCAGCGGCGCAGGGCCGTAGAGGTCCGGGCGGTGCGGCGCCAAAGGGCTCCAGGCATCGATCCGATGGACCACGATGCCTGAGAGGTGGAGGAGCTGGATGGAGCTGGAGGGAGCTGGGGAGGTGGGAGGAGGAGCGGTTTTGGGCCGATGACCAAGGCGGAGCTGGATCGATGCGAGTTTTCTCGGGATGAGATCTGGAGAAGGAATTCTGAAGGAAAGAGCGCATCGCTGCCTCGTCTTCGGAGAACAGCTCTTAGATCATCCTAGATCCATATCTGTCCTGAGATCAAGGCTATCCCTGATTTGTTGCATGGCTGTCCGTGATCCCTCAGAAGGCGATCTGCCCATGATGCCGCACCACATCTTTGTCCCCGCTACTGTGGTCCATGCACCTGACATACATAACATACACTACATTACTTTAAATTACATTGCATGCATCCATGCATCCATGCACGCATACATGCATTACATGCATTACATGCACTACATACATTACATACATAACATACATATACATACCATTGCATTGCATTACATTACATTACATACATACATACCTACATACATACATATGGCACCCCCGCAATCCATCCAAAACTTCAACTCAAACATTACCTCAAACAAATGACCTCAACATGTGCAGAATTCACTGTAAAACCACCTGAAAAGTGCAAAAAGGAAGGGGTCTTGGGGGGTATCATATATATATATACAGTATGTATATATCCATATTATATATTCTGTTCCAACGGCCACCGTCAAAAACCGCGGTGCCTACCCGCGGCCGTTCCCGGTCAGTCCCAAGTGGCTGGGCATGGACAAAAGCAAGGTGGCACCAAGCCTCAGTTGCTCAAAAGGTCGCTGGACCAAAGGTCGCCTGCTGTACACGATGCTGTCGACGAGATGCTGTCGACGCTCGTACACGATGTGTTGGACATATATATATATATAGCGAGAGAGAGAGAGAGATAGAAACATGTGTTGTTGTCTGCTCGGCTCTTTGTGAGTGTTCGAGAGGTTCAGGATTGTGGGTATGTTGATGCATCTTGTGGTATTATATACCTCCTGTATTCTGGGATATCCCATCGACAGGCCCATTGGCCGTTGACTCTCAAAGGGGCTTCCGACGGTCCAGGCCGCCTACCCTTCTTCGCTGCTTCTGCTTGTCAGCTCGTTGTTCAAGGCTTCAACACACAAATAACATCAAATAACATCAAATAACAAATTATCCGAACTTAAACAAACATAAGCAGTATACTCGGGCACTTGCTTGCCTCCTCAAGCCGCCAACTGTAGTTTCTGGCATTCTCTTGAGCTTCAGCATACCCATCACACCCTCCATAAGCTTCCAGCTGGTGAACACTGACAAATCTGATCAATATTGATCAATGACATCTGGAATTGAGTTGTTCCACACTACCCGGCAACGAGGCACTCGTCATCTGGCTGCAAAAGCCTCATCTGTGTTGTTTCGAAGCCTGGCAGGGCGCTGGTCGACGTGGTGCGACTCGCAAGGCTTGTGATGGCTTACGTCAGGAACGAGGGCTCGAGGGTGGCTGCATCCTTCTCATTGCTTCGTGATCGAAGTCTGAGGAGGTCGAAAGACGCGTGGTCCATGCGCTGGCCGCTGGCCATGCGGTCGTTGGCAGAGAGACTGAAAGCTCGGTTGGGGGGAGCGATTCGCAGGTGGAATGACATCAAATGCAGTTGGGAGGTCTCTGAACGTCTCTGCACCTCGTAGTACTTCACCTTTCCCAATATGAACAGAATACGGTGAACACGTGTGAATGTTTGCCTGCCGACTTTTCAGTGCTTGGGGGGTTGAGCATTCACCTCCAGTCCTTGAGGTCAACAACCTGCCTCATTGACCAGCCAGGTGAGAGTCAGTTCGAATAGAAATGCCTCAAAAGCCAAAAAGCTACAGCATTTTTGAAGGGTATTGACGTTTCTATCACTTGTCTGAGCCTTTCGACTTGGGCCACCTCTCAAACTTCGTGAAGGCCCTGGCCACCCATGTCTCAGCTCGATCCCTTGTCCCACCTCGAATATCGCTCTGTTCCACGCAGTAGCAGCGGATGTGGGGCTCCACCAAGGAATGCTGGGAACGCAAGTCGCAAACGCGAAACATGAAGTAGTAGGCACCATCAATACATCCTTAGTCGCCGGAGAGGCGACGAACGACAGCGAGCGAGCGACGTGTCGACGCGTCCCGACGTGGACATGTCGAGCGACCATGTCACCTGACCATACCTGCCACAGAAAACGACGTGGTTCGGGTTCTTGTGGAGAGCTAAGGCTTGAAAGGGAAAAGAGTAGAAAAGTTTGATGCGCCTGGTATTTCAGATATGGTTTGGCGTGAATATAAATCTGCTCAACATGCGTGAATAGACTCTATGCCTAAGGCGAAGCAAAACATATTGCCATTCTTTCCATCAATCAGCCTTTCAAGCATGAACAAGGCAATGGTCAATAAGCCACTGCAAAACTCCTCCCCTACTTCTGACAGGACCAACGCTTCCAAACCATCCCAAGAAACGATGCAAGCACATGGCTTTCACGGTGCTTTCAGCCCGCGTTCGCCCAAACCAAACCGACCCGAAACCCCCGATCTTCGCCCCAGTGGCGGATGATGGCCTTCTCGCTGCACAGGATGGTGCAGGCGCGACTCTGCGGCCGGGCGATGCCCTCATGCCGCGGAAGTTCTCTGGACGTGGTCTCCATGAAGTCTCAAGTGGAGAGGATTTGATCTGTAACCAGGCTCTGAAAGATGTTCACTGGCATTCACTGAGGGGCAGGAGCCAGGAGCAGTACTCTAAGGTACAATTGAGATACATGCCGGAAGGAAGGTACCGATTGCACGTGCAGCAGCATTAAAAGGTGGCGGTCAATGGCTATCAATATCAACGGTAAAGTACTAAGTCTACAAGGTGAAACCACCACCACCACCAACAGCAACAACAATCACAAAATCAAGGGGAGCATGATGTCGTTGTGTTTGCCGCTGTTAGCCAAAAAGGATCTTGTAGCGGGTACAGTACCGGTATATGCTAACCCCCCACACGGTTTACCTTTCCGTCCCAAACACTGATATTTGCCGTGTTTCATGCACACGTTTGACAGCGCTTTGATGACATGTATGTTATGTTGTAAACATCTACGCAATGCCATAAGCTCAACAACAGCTCATCCTGTCCTGGAAGATCACACCAATGAGAATGGCGCTTAAAATCAGATTCACCAGGACCTGTGTGGTGAGCACCTCGGCGCGCCCGACCGCCTCGCATGTGGGTTCCTGACGCCATACTTCAGCCCAGTTGAGTGGTGTGTCAACACAGCATCTATTAGCCATAACAATATCGCCGCCCATTTAAGTCATTGCCTCAGACGAACCACTGAGTGAAGACGAGTCTTAGCACCACCGCGCACGCTGCGTAAGACAAAGTCGTGCACGATCGAAACTACAGTTGACTGAATAGGTCTCTGACTGAGAGTGTCTATGTATGTCTATGTCATGTTTGAAACCTACTCTCTTCTTACATGCACACGTAGCATTGTGTCGGCGGAGCCCGGTCACTCTCGGAAGACTCGCGCGCCAGCGAGACCACACACGATCGAGCAAATGTCACGATGATCAGCCTTGATTGCTGTCAAGGCCTAGTGCAGCCACGTGCAGCCACGTGCAGGCTGTCTTGAAGAAAACCCCAAAACATCCTCTTGGGTCCCCAAGCAACCAACGTATGGAATCGTATGGAGCTCAACTTTCAGCAAGGCACGAAAGGCCCTTGCCAGCAGCCATTCATGTAAGGATCTGGTACGCCGTAGCCAATCGTCATCATGGTCTCGAGAGACAACAAGTACCTTAGCAGCTTCTGTCGTGCGTCGTGCGTGTTCCAAGCTCCATATAGACTAATATGCACATAGATATATATATATACCCAGATGCACTTCAAAACGCAACAACTTGCAAATGTTGTCCTCTCATTATTTTGGCTAAGCACTATCTTAGACGCACTCTATTTTGTGTAAGGTGTAAGATTCTGGACAACTCGGCAAGTCAACAACACTCACAAATGCAATGATCGGAACCCAACAATATTGGTCGGGTCTACACAGACACAGCACTGGGCCTGACCGTGTCAACTGAAAACGGTTCCGGAGTCTGCTCACAAAACCCACTGATCATGGCGAACTGAACACATTGACACATACAAGCAACAAACAATGAATGCATGCTTTGGAGAAGAAACCGCATCACTTTTAGTTCACTTCGTTACTCCTTACTTCCAACAGCCATTGAACTTGTGATTTCTTCTCAAACGGCCATGGCTCGCTTTCACCAGGTGCCCTTCCAGCTGAAGGTTGCAGGCCTTGCCTCGGCTTGCATCGAACGGTCTTCGCATCGGTTTTCGAATGCTTCGAAACCGTCACCTACTGCACAAGGTAAGGAATGCGAACCCAATACCTTCCTTTCCACCGGACCCTGAAGTCTGACGTCGGATTCATGACGAGTCCTTTTTCTTCATTAGTCATGGGGAGACCATGATTGGTCTGTTTCACCATGCGACAGGACCCCGATGGACCCCGTAACTGATGACCACAGCTCCAGAAGGGTAGGTGAAGGCTTGGCAGCGAATTTCCATGTCCAGGTTGTTTAGACGGATGCAGTCCTTACATTGCCTTACATGTTGAAACCAGGTACGAAGGCATACAGAAGAACATCGAAGAACAACTTGAACAGATTTGATCAGGAACCGCTGTTCAAGGGCCACGATATAGTGGCCAAATAGATAGAAAATAGAAACGGTGTCCAATGCATTTTTTGTGGGGATCTACTTTTCGATCTAATTGGAGGTCCATATACCCGAATTGACCAATGGCGCTGAACGATTGGGCCACCGAAGTGACGACCAAGACCACAAAAAAAGGAAGTCTGAGGCGGGATGCTTATCCCAAGGTATAGAAAGGCATAGAACCAAAAGAGCACGACGTAGAGCACCAGGAAGCAACCTGGACAGCCAAAAGGCACAAAAAGGGATCGCAGGATGAGTTCTAAGCTAAAGATGCTAAAGCACCGGGCGCAAGACTGTTCAGCAAAAACAAACTACAATAACCATAGCCTTAGCACAAAGAAAAGACATCATCTATAGCACATCCACACATGCGAACGTTCAGCAATGCTTTTTTGATCGGCTGTCCAAGGTCCAGTGATGTGCAGGATGTTGGCTTTTTCAAGCGGCTCAGCAAATGAGCATGCATTGAAATACAGTCAGTGCTGGACCCCCAAAGACCCATGACAAGGGAAACACTAGACGAACGTCAGTGGTTGGGGGGTCTCCCCCTTCAAAGACGCACCCACATCCAAGAATCTCGGCTGAGCGCCCAGACACAACTGTTTGCCGATCTTGGCATCCAGAAAGGTGTGGTACCAGTCCTGGAGTCAACGCCAGGACTGGAAAGCAAAAAATAAAACGGTGACAAAGTCATATATTTAGGGATCTTGTTGATCATGTCACTCCAAAGCTTGAAGCAGCACCAATCAACCAAAATGTGAAACGGGTCAGAGTCATAGTAATTGACAAAGCAACTAGCCAAGTCGGTTGGCAAAAGCGAATGCTGACATTGCGAGCATGTGTTCACAGGAGCCTCTTTTGGAAGTGAACAACTGTGTTGCTTAGTTTTGAGATAACTTGGAAAAAACAACTGTCCCAATTCAAGGTCAGAAGGTCAGAGGTTAGTTCGACGTGCCCGCCTTTTTCTCACCAACTCGTCACAGGTCGTTCGACCTGCTCTGACGAACGACGGTCCTCTAAGAGCAACGTGCTGACTTCCGCCATGGTATCTCGGGGTTTGCCACAGGCACCTCGGCGAGGAGAGAAAAACGGCGGCCTGGGTCCCTAGGGGACCCATCACCAAGTCGCTGGAAGCTCCCCATTCAAAGGCACTGACTGTAGAACTAAACATGCTGTGGCTTTGAATGGATGGGGTAACCGTTTTTTGGAGGGCTCCATCTTGGTCCATAAGGATTCGGTGTCTCCTTGAGGTGGTCAAAAGTATGGAAGGAAAATGGTACCTGAAATGTCATAAACTATCCCAGGCGGTGTCTCGCATGTCCTAGTTGCAGCATGTCGCAGCTGTTGTTTGTGGTAACACGGCTTCGAACTCCCTATCTCGCGTTGATGAGCACCTTCGGTGACAGGACGACAGCAGAAAACCCCGCGGACCGGCGGACCAGGATCCAAACTTCATCAAACGTCAAACCTTGTTCACATTAAAAATAGGATCTAAACAAGAGGCAACGGCCATGTCCTAGTCAAAATGTTGTTCAGGAACCCATTTCATCGGGTGTTCATCAGGTTCAAATCCCCAACAAGGCAAAACCATGCAAAACCCACATCTGCCACCAAGATTCTCCGCGTTCTGGACATGATGTTATGCAGAAGCCAGTGTCCGCGCGATTGTCCAAATGCCCCACGGCGGTCCTGAAACATTGGGCACAACGAGTTGTCCTTTTCGAAACCGGTGATCGACCTGATCTTCGCCCAGACCCAGGGCAACGTGGAATCCCTTCCCTTCGACACTGACACGGACCAACAGTTGATATGTATAATTATTGATGAACCTTGTTGAAAGGAGGAGCTCATCTTCAACAACAGTGATCAACCACCTGCTTCTCAGCAGAGCTGGGTAATGGTGCTCGAACACGCTCTCCAACTGAGCACTACCACGACACCGGCAACCCTGCCATCCGCCCTTCGCATGCCACCGTGATCGCCAGGCATCCATGAGCCGGAAGTCTGGGCCAATCTCCTCGCACACAGAGTTGGAGGCCTGGCTCAGCAAATGGTTTCTTCAACACCCCACCAACCCTCCGCACGTGGGGTAGCTTTGGGGGGAAGAACAAAACACATGAAACCTTGCTTGATCGAAAGGCCTCAACTTCTCAATGTTTCGAAGAGCCCGCCCAAAATTCTAACAAAAACACGACACAACCCTCACGCAATGAAGCTCACACCACGCATGGTTTTCATCTTAGATAAATATGTCTGCTCTATATTATGTGTATATATATACACATACATACAACAATTGTGAATAACATAAGTGGCCGCCTCGCGCGGCGCGGCACTTTCCAAGAAAGCACGTACTAAAATCACAAGTTTGCAGGCAAAACACCACATGGTTGTACCCTAGAACCGAAAAAACAGCAAGGGAGAGGCCAAATGCAAACATGGCCTGGCATCGCTCGAAAAGCGCACGACTCCCTGTCAAAACAAAACTGCGTCATGTAGGGCAATTCATCAAACAAGCCCAGTTGGAGCATAATTTGCCCAATTTGCTCACCGCCTGGTGGCCAGAGTGCTTTATATGTCTGGAACGCTCGACGCTCGCGTGAAATCCTCGAGCTGCTTCGGACGCTTCTGGCCACCTGCGTTTCCACTCTGCTGTCATGCCCATGGCAAGTGGGAATCGGAAGATTCTTCAGAAAATGAACCAGACGAAGAAACACAGCATACCTCCCTCAAGCGCTGGCAGTGGCGCTGGTCCAGACTCTTTTCTTCCACTGGCCCGTGGTGGCAAAACAAGTTCTGGCACTTTCTTTCTCTGTGGCCGTGTACGGGCCATTTAAGGTACAGACTTAAGTCGCCACCCCTCTGCAGGAGCGCCTTCGTTTGTGGAAGCGAGGGTAGTCGGATTGGAATGCCCTGCCGGCTCAAGCTGGCCCACGTCCTCTCAGCTTGGCCTTGGATACTCCGCAAGGCAGCGAAGTGCTGTGCCATGGATCGTAGCACTTGGGAAGGGCCAAAGCAGCCTTGCAGGTACCACCCTGCAAGGCGGCTCAATATGCATCTAACTGAATGGAAGGATCTTTAGGATGCATCTTGCACCTTCACGCCAAAACGCATGGGCACTGGTTCTATTCCCAAACAAGTCAACAATTGTTCTTACAACACTTGCCTTCAGAGGTTCGCCGAAACACACATGCTAGAGCAGGCAAAGGACACCTTGCTGCGAAGAACGCCATCTGCAATGCATGCAGCACTACAACCTCCTCCCACTGGCTTCAAGCAAGCAATAGCGATCACATGCGATCACTGGCGATAGAAGGGTCAGCTCGATGTCCTTGAGCCCTCTCACTTAGGCATCCGACCGTGCAACGACCGTGCAACTTGATTAGCCCAAAAGAGTCCAACGGGCAGTGGCGGAAAGAGAGCGTTTAGCACTGGCACAGACGGCTCAGCAGCAGCTTGCATTAGATTCAATGAGCAAGTCTTAACACAAAGTAGAACAAAATGATACTGTGCTGTGAAGCTGTGTGATGCCTGTCCACGAAACACGAAAAGTTCCGAAGAGTGCACAATGCATTTACTGTTCTCCGGAAAAAAGAACATTAAAAAAGAAACATCGAAAAAAGAAACATGTGCTCTGAATCAACAGGGTCCCCAGAACGCGGGCACGTACGGTTCGAACCGCGCAATTCGGAATGTATGATTGGAACGTCGGCACGCACGACGTACGATTGGAGGCCGTTAAGGTCAATTGTAAATATAAGTCCCTGAAACGCCACCATACCAATCATACTAGGGTGGAGACCATCGCTACTAGGGTGGAGGCCATCGCTAGTAAGTTGGAGGCCATGCTACTAGGGTGAAGGCCATCGCTAGTAGGTTGGAGGCCATCGCTACTAGGGTGGAGCAAGTTTCCCCCTCTTTCCTTCCATTCACATCCCCCCGCGCCGGTGAGATCGGCGTCTCGTGCAGGAGCCCGCCCACCGACTGCCGCATGCTCGCCATGCGCGCGCCGAAGCCGAACTTGTCCACGGGCGCCCCATTGGCACCACAGCCCTGGGAGCGAACAGGCCGGTGGACGTTCGACATGAGCCGCAGTACTCCAAAATCTACAGTATTACTTTGCACCAAAGGTCCCAAATGATGAATATCTTTGTCACTATCTTTGTCTTTGGCCCTGGTTTCTTTCCATGTTGTGGTGTGTGGAGTGTTCAAACTGCTTGCTCTCAAGCTTGCCCCAAAATTGATATGTACAGTGGAAGTATCTATATATATATATACAGTATATGATTATACATTTAGTGCCATCCCAGTTCACTCTGCTTGTGAGAAGTGTTCCTGGATCAGGCACTACTGGGTGTAGGCCTTGCAAATCTCCATCACCATCTAGCATGGACAACCTTCGACACTTTTTGCGAAATCCTCATGCCTATGAATGCATCTGTTAGTGCGCATGGCCAAACACCTTCAAGTGTCCTCTGGAAGCTCATTGCTTGATATAAATGTCAGATATAAGAAGTGTAGTGTAGCCCATGGATATCCTAGATTTGGGTGGTCCCATCGGTCTTACCTGGTGTTGGATTTCCAATGCTTTATTGTATGGTATCGGTTTGCGGTGGCTCCCCCGTCGATTTTGGTTCTTCTGGTCTTGGTTGTCAATGAAAGTCTCCAGTGAACGGAGGATTTGGAGAATCAACTGCCGCTTCATCCCCACGGCGTCCACCCTGAAAAAACACCACACAACATGATATAGATAATCAGATACTCTAGACACATGCACATGCAGTCACATACACCATCGTACGCTAGTACGCTAGTACGCCAACACGCTCGCTCATTAGCACACTCTCTCTCTCTCTCTCTCTGTCTCTGTCTCTGTCTCTCTGATTCATTCGGTCATTACACTGGGGATCTTTGCAATCAATCATCCCCCCCGAGTTGTCCGAACGGTGTAGTTGTCTCTCCTTCGCATGAGGCACCAGTGCATTGGCCGCCGTGTTCTTCACCTGTCATAGAGGAAATGGTTCAGCCCTTGGAGCAACCTTCAATGGGGGACAGGGGGAAGAACGGTCTGCTTCCACTCGACATCCATTCATTGAAACCAGCAAGGTGCGGGCCACACAGCATCCTGAACTCATCTGAGAAGTGCAAGCGAACACAAAGCATGCTGAAGCGCCATATTTCACCCAAAAGAAGGACCTCCTGACAAAAAGTTGGAACACAAACAATTTCCTTCAGAACTTCTTGGAAAACCTCTTTGTCCCCTTTGCCCTTTCGTTGTCCGTATCTTCGCCTGCATCTTCCGGACCTCGGCATCTTCACCGGAGCCCTATGTGTAAAGAAAGTATGAACTCGGTCTACTTGTGGGGCAGTTACCAATGCTACCAGTACCCCCATAGGCCCCATAGCCACACATTACTGTCAGTATTGTAGTCAGGTGCTTTGAGTCAAATTGAACAGTTCTGCAAGTCAACAGGGTTGTCTAGCAAGCCCTATCTATTTACGTACGGCGGCCGTGATGTCAGGTCACGGGAAATCGACTGGATGGGGTCATGCACCCTCGCCAAGGAATATTAAGCTAAGAAACTTTGATCTCTGCTTCCACTATCCTTCTACATAACATCTTCTAACTGGCTTCACTCGCCTTCTGCACCCTCGCCATCCGCTTTCTCCGCTTTCTCCCAGTCTGCATAGCCTTTCTCCCACCCAAACCTCCCACCCAGAACCGCCCTCGGAGGAGGCGCCACAGACTTGAAGCGCCGCCGGTTGGGGGTCTTCTCCCCGGTCTCCTCGTCCGGCTTCTCGGCGCTGGTGCGCTTGTCCACCTCGTCCGGTCGAGCCACGGAACATGTGCATATATGTGCCCACAATGGATCATTGATGATCATAGTGTGCATAACCTTGATTCCAGCCCTATGTAAACCAGTGAATGCACCCTTTGTGGTGTTTGATGTGCAAAGACATGATCAACGTTTCCCTGGGGTCTGTTCATTTAACCCCACGGCGTAACTCGGCCCCCTTTTTGCAGAATCCTGGTGGTCAGCACAGCAATGGGATCCAACAAACATGCAATGCTGGAATGCAGGTATATACCGTATACCGTATACCCCATTCCCTGCAACAGTGGGTGATGATGGTCAGCAAAGGCCTCTCTCTAAAATAGTTTGCCGACTGTTACAGGGTAATAGGACACCTTGAAGGAATGAATTGGGCATGGAAGCAGATACATCGCCCCGTACTTGTTGCTCTGGTCAATCTTGTTCCTTCTTACTTCTTCGCCTTCCTTCGGCTTCTCCATCATCTTCCTCCTCTGCTTCTTAGTCATTGGCGATCATTGCTCGGGCAACAGAACGCCCCGGTCATTCTCGTTCATGTGTCTCATTCAGCAAAAAACGGCGCGTCGGGACCTCGGCCGGTCGTCACCCGAGTCAACGTCGCCGTCGGTGCGACCGGTGGAACCCCGCTGGCCTCATCGTCGTTGCCGTCCCATTCCTGCAGACGTCGACGTGAATAAGGATGAAAGGACTCCTATCGACTGAGCATGCCCCAGCCAAGCAAGAAGATCTCCCTCGACTCGAAAATTGCTCGAGTTTGGGTCCAATTTCAGTTGAATGATGTTGAATGGTTGCTTTCCTGGGGAAGCTGTTAAAATGATCCGGCCAAGCTCTCGACATGGGACCAACCTTACATTACCTATGTTAAATATTGCCTAGTGTGCACAGAGGGCTTGGTGTGGCTAAAGCATGCTAAAGCTTGTGACGCCCAAGAAATAGTGGCCCCTGGCACCTGGAGTGTCTCAACCACCATCTGTTTTGGCACATGGAACAGTGCAAAACCCGGCGTAATTCCTGTCGCCCAATCAGATTGCCTGATGCCTGATACCACCCAACGGCACACGCCCCCCCGAGCCTCGGCTCGCTCGTCGTTGGACAGCAGCGCCTGCGTGATGCGCCCCGCGATGCTCCTGGAGAGGACGGAGAGGAGGAGGGAGGTCGCTGGGTGGTTGGTTGGCGGAAAACATGCTTTTGACATCTTTTGACCATATCTGTGATGCACCACCCGGACCCAGAGAGAGAATGCAGCCACGAGGTTTCTCCTGTGAGGATGTCCGAACATCACGGCATGGCAAGGTCGGTCACAGGGATGAGATGCGCGATGCGCAAGCAGTGCTTGATCATCCCTCAAGGTGACCTGGCCTGGCTTGCAAACCTTGTTCTGGCTGGCCCTCGAATCCTGTACCATGATGTAACATGTAGAGTGCTCCATGATACTCCGACTTGCGGTCTCATCTTCAAAGCGGGCAAACTGAAGAACATCTCCGTTGCCTGTGGTCGCACTTTCTCTCTGATAGAAGCGGTCTGAGTGGTCAAAAAAGACACACAGGCAGGTTAGAAGCACAAGTACCGGGAAACCAAGCACAAGTACAGGGCAAGAATTACATTCAAGTGCTTGACCATTGGGCCATCGGGTGGTGAGCTGGAAAGCTGGCAATTCCCATGCCCTGCTCTCTCCTCGATGCTGTGGTCGATAGATCGATCGGTTCCAAAACTCGGATCCACGGCGATTGAAAAGCCCTGCCGGAATCGTCAGCATCAGTGGTGTTGTGGTGTTGCCAGTTCTGAAGCTGTACCTTGTGTGCTTTTCTTCGGCATGGCATGATCCGTTCAAACCTAATTTTAATGTTCAAACCTGAAGCACTGAGAGGGGGGCCTAAGTTCCGAGGATCATTGGAGGATCATAATCTGATCTGATGGGAACATCCACTCAGCGCTGTCTCTAGGCCCTCCGAACAAAGTGTTTCCGGGCCCATGGCAATGGAGGCTTCGCCTGGCGTGCTTTCTCCACAAAAATCACCAGAGATGGCCACATGAACTACGAGCAACACCTGGTAGGAAACCCTTGACACCGGAACGCCCCTTTTCACACCCCACTATGAAAACTTCCAACGGCTTTGGTACGGTTGTTAAATCCCTTCATCAAGATGACATTCATCTCGTTTTGCATCAAAATAAACAGATGCTTCATCACTATGGGATGTTCTTCACTGGCTTAGATTCCTCTAGAATCCTCCGCGCCTGCACTGCCACGTTGGGCCGGTTGGCAACGCACAAGGCGTGCTTCAAGGGAGCCTTAGGTAAGTTGACGTGACCTTTTCCAGCTAAACCCCAACTACTAACCCTTACTTTTGCTGGCTGGAAAAAGGGAAAAAGCAAGTTCTGTAAATCGTCAGTGCCTAATCTGAATCTGCTGGGCTTCTGCTTGAAGGTCTGAATCCAACATGACCCTTCATGATCGTACTGTATGCGGTTCATGAGATGAGACGTTCCCAGGGGGCACAAAGCTTGTTTGGACACACCACCTGGAGATCTCCCATCATTCTCATCAGTTAGATGGCGCAAGGAAAAGTATCAGGTGCACATGGAGAGTTGCAAAGGATCAAAACACTCAAAACCAACCCCCTTCCAACCTTCCAACAGCATGAACGTGTGTTGGGAATGAGCCACTCCACGCGACGACGCACAAAAAGAACACCAAAGGCATCACTTGTCTTGCTTCCGGCTGTTTTTCAGCCTTTGGCGCGGAATGTGAGCTGTTCTCTAGGCGGCCGGTGCTTTTGAACCGACCTCCAAGCTTCTCTTGAAGTCATCGATGTCGTCCGTTGTTCAAGCGCTCGCGCAGTCTCTTCAACGAGTTTTCTGTTGACTGCAAAAAGCGCTGCGCCTGCGATGACAAAGAGCCCACCTTCGATGATCCTCGCTCCTTCGACGCGGCCTGCGCGGCCTTCGCAGCCGCTTCAATGTGGTCAGCACTGCTTTCGCCCAGCTGCAAGAACTGTCCAAACACCCGTCGCACCGTGGGATGTCGGATGTGTTCCAAGCGCGGAGCGGCGAAAACGCCCGCTCGCCGCAAGAAAGCCAATCCGGTCGTTCCGAGCCAAGCGTCGAGCAGCATTTGCAAAAGCCCCATGGCCGGTGGACAAGTGGACCAACGGGTGAAGTCAGAAGTTAATCAACTCTAGAAAGCCAACAGAATGAACATGAATCAACCGCCTGGGCCGCCTGGAGATTATATCACCAAAATCCTCTTGGAATCCTAAGCATGACCCACTGAGCTGGTAGATGTGGTTGTCCCGCCGCATTTGCATTCTTGTTTTGAGAACATCTACCAACAGAATGTTATCAAACACCTTGAGCCAACATTGGCAAAGGAACCTAGCAAAGAAACAAGCAGGGGGATCCATGTGTCCGAAACGGATTTCCTTAAGCAGGCTGTTGGCCTTTAATCTTCCCATGGCCTTCATGTGCTTGACCAAAGAAGAATCTCGGGATTCCTTCAAGTGGTCAAGGGCTCCAGGATACTTCAGGTGTCTGCGGCGAAAGGGCGTTTGTTATCGTGTGGAACCCAAATCCATCACAAGTTCACATCTTTTGCTCTTCTTCTTTTCATCACAGGGACTTCCATGAGAGCAAACCACTGCAGCCCCACAGTCGGGATTCTTTCAGCGCGATCGCAGAAAGCTCGTCCAGATCGCAGAGAAGAATCAACGGAGGCGGCATGCTTTGTTTTCAGAGCAGCCATGTGGGGCCAAACTGATCCTCAACTTCATGATCAAAGTCGTGACCTCATCCCTGCATTGAACAAGTTCAGAGAATGAGTGGTGCAGGAATTGACCAATTGAACTCAATATTCAGCCTAATTGAGGATGCCAAACGAGCCGCGGCCAAAGAAGACCATTAATAGAATCGTGGACCTGGTGTTGTAGAAAACAATGGTGGTTCGGTAAAAAACCTTTAAAATAATAGTGGTTGGAAGCCCATCCTCAGCACCAACTCCGCGACCCGTCAAATGTCAATATTAACTCAAAATCTTTCGAGCAAAACTGCGCTCTTCCTGTCTCTGCTCCGATTGAAGTCCTTACTCGCCCATCCTCATTCGCCCATACCGTCGACCATCTCCGTCGCTGCCAGGGCACGCGTACGGGCGGCGTCATGCGCTCGGTGGGCCACAGCGGCGGCCGACTGAGTCGCGCGGTCCTGAGGCGAAGACTGGAAAGTATCGGCGTTTGGAGCATCTAAGAATCTATGAAGGGTGATGTAATGGTGACAAGAAGCTACTAGGTGGAGGCCATCGCTATTAGGTTGGAGGCCATCGCTACTAGTGACAAGAAGCTACTGGTAGCAAGGTGGTGGCAAATGATACTTCGCAGAGTTCTGACATCTGATCCCACGTCTAGCATGAGATAAGTCATGAACGAAAAGACCAACTCGACCGCCACTGTTCGTTCTGCCCACACCTGCTGAGGCCAATTCACATCTTGAGAGTTCTGTAGCGCAGCGAATACCAAGTCCTGCTGATCAAAGCCTTCATCTATATAAAAACTTAAAGTATGTTTGCTTCCGGATGAAGGGTGTTCCGGGGACAATCAGCCCAACCATGGTGTCGTGTGCGTTCCAAAGGAGGAGTGGTCAAAGCAGTGATCCATCAGGGTCCACCACCAGTGTGTTGTCGGAGTATTTCGTTCGATATCTCGTTTTTGTCATTATGTGTCATTATATCGGTGCAACCTAAAAAGAGGCTCCTGCTACTGGGCTTATGCTAAGCGTAAAAAAATGTCTTGTTTTTGTCTTTACATCAGTCAACTGGATCTGAATAAAATGTTCATCCAGTGGTGACTCAAGGGGTGACCGCCGACGATCTTCCAGATTCCAGTCTTTGAGTATGAGGGAAACCCTTCAAGTGGCGGAACTTCTATCGTTCCATATCCTTCCTTTTGGCCAGGGGGGCGACCAAAGGCATGTACCACGCCTGTGTCACGCCTGTCATGCTCTTCCATCTCCCAAAAGCGCCCCCCAAAGGGCTCCCCCAAACTTCTGAAGCACCTGCTACTAGAATCTACTAGAAACCTAATAGCTACACCCCCCAAGAACCGTCCTCGCGGACCGTGGCACTGCGCTCGCGATCCTGCCGGACCACCGAGCGAGCTCGCGACACCGGGTCCATGGCTGGGACGGAGCGTGGCCCATCCACGCGATGTGGTGTGAACACGATCGTTTTGGGCCGAACCTTCTGAAGTTCAAACCCATTCTGGAAGGAGTCTGAAGGAGCAAGGGCGCTACTGGGGGCTCCTGGCATGGGCTCCTGGCCGTACTACTAGGAGCAAGGACGCTACTGGGGGCTCCTGGCATCGCTACTAGGAACAAGAAGCTAGTAGGGGCTCCTGGCCGTACTACTGGGAGCAA